CAACACTAATGATAAAGGACTGATCACAAAAATCTGCAAAGAGCTGATGAGACTCAACAACAACAAAGAAAATAATCCAGTCAAAAAATGGAAAGAAGAGCCAAAAAGAAAAACTTCTCTGAAGAGGAAATACAAATGGCCAACAGCATGTGAAAAATGTTTCAACATCACTTTCATCAGGGAAATGCAAATGAAAACTACCATGAGATACCATCTTACACCAGTGAGAATGGCACATATTAAAAAAAACTAGCAACAACAAATGTTGGCGAGGGTGTGGAGAAAAAGGAACTCTTCTGCACTGTGGTGGGAGTGCAAACTGGTCCCAACCACTATGGAGAGCTGTGTGGAGATTTCTGGACCTACTAAACATAGAGCTTCCATATGACCCAGCAATTCCACTCCTAGGTATTTACCCAAAGGACACAGAAACATCCATTCCAAAGAACACCTGCACCCCTATGTTTATAGCAGCACTGTTTACAATAGCTAAGCTTTGGAAACCACCCAAATGCCCAAAACTAGACGACTGGATCAAGAAGATGTGGTCCATATACACCATGGAATATTACTCAGCATTCAAAAAAAATAAACACATGCAGTTTGCAGCAACATGGATGGCACGGGAAGGATTCATGCTCAGCGAAATAAGCCAGAAAGAAAAAGAAAAAATACCGGATGGTCTCAGTCATAGCAGGAATCTAGAAAACTTAATAAGGGACCAGGAAATGAATAATTATAAGAAAGTGAAAATCAAAATCAACAAAAAATTATGAACCAGAGGGTGGGGGGGCGGGGAGGGAGTATTGGGGTCAAAATAAGGGGGTTGCAATTGTATGGGGAATATAAAAATAAAAAATTTATTAATTAAAAAAAGAAACTTGTATCAATGACTTTATGAAAATTTATAATAAAAATACCCACCTGTGTAGTGAAGGTGCTGTGGCTGCCCTATGTACAAAGTATCAACTTGAGGAGGATGTTTCACTTTTATTAGACGGGTATGTATTTCCATAGAAGGTGTCATACAAAAACTTGAATCTTTTGTACACTCTTTATTGGTTCTACAAACTTGAGTGGCTTCAACTGCTTTTCGGGTAGGTAGACATGTATGCTACAAATAAAAATATTGATAATAACCAATTAATTTACAAAAATTATTGAATTAAAAGAGATAAAAATGAGAAAATTCCAAGTTACATTCCTTTAATATTTCTCATGTCATTTAGTGTATTAGTAATTTCTATGAATATAGTTCACATGAAAGAAATGACATATATATTCCCCTTTATAAATTAAAGATCTGAACAAAGAAGATATTAACACTAAATTTTTAGATATTATCAAAGAAATGTGACAGGAAATAGAGGTTGTAACAAATGAGAAGTAACCTTATATTTCACTTTAATTTATATACATATTTTGTAAAAACTAGAATAGACAACTTACCAAATGCTTATTGAAATTATTTCTGTAGGAAAAGCACACATTTGTGAGGCTATGATTCTTACAACATTCTGTGGATCCATCTAGTCGTTTATATGCTAAAGAAAAACAATCTATTAGAGTGTGTTCCATATAACTATGTTTTAATGATTTTGCTTCTAAGGCAAAAATAAAGTGAAATGACATTGTTTTATAAAGCATTTTATAAATTTAGGTTGTTTGGCATTTTTAGCTGTAGCTTGAATTTTAGCTGTAGCAAAAATTTATCCTACCCGATAGTTTCAGCACAGTAATATCCTTGTCATTAATGAGCTATTATGACTTTATGCTATAAATTTAAGTTATTGCATGCCTTAATTATGTTTTATACCTTCTCACTAATTTTTCAAACAATTAAAAATTTAAAAATAATAGTACCAATGGATTGTATTTTCTTTAAGATTTATTTATTTATGCATACCAGAGCTGGGGCACATGCCAGAGACATGGGGAGTGAGAGGATTCATCTGAGACCGAGTGGGAAGAGACCGAGTAGGGAACAGAACAGGCAGACTAACTGAAATACACTGCTGAGTCAGGAGAGGCAAGTCAGGAGAGGTCTGCTTTGCCATGTGGGTTGCTCCCTGGCTGGCCCAGGATCGAACTCATGCTGCAAAGTCTGTGAATTGCTTCATAGTGTGGTGCTTAACCCCTTGCGCCACCAGGGAGGCCCTGTATTTTTATTTTTTAAGAAAATTTTAAATGCAGAGAAGTTTCATAATTTAGCAGTAATAAATACATAACCTGAATGTGTCTTGTACATCTGTTCAATTTAAACATTCAAAATACAGTAAATTTTGCCTTAATTAAACATAAATATCTTCACTTAGATTACAGATTCCCAAAATGAATATATCCTTGACATCTGTTCATAAGGAAGGTATATCAAAGTTAGCTGGATGCAAATTAAGTGCTTCTGATTCATGACTGTCTTAGCTCAGTTATTATGACAAAATGTGACAAACTAGGTGATTTAAATGGCAAAATTTATATTATAAGTCTCGAAGCTTGAGACCAAAGTGGCAACATAGATGGATGAGCACTAGCTAATGAATTTTTTTGTTTATAATAGTTTTTCAGGAACTATAGAAAAATGATAAAGAACTTAAAGTGTAATCTATGGAAGCTTAAAACTAATCCATGGAAATAATGGATTATTTTTCATACAGAAGAATGCATTGAAAATTGTATACTGATTTCTGTATCATGGTAAGTGGCATGTTCAAAACCATTTGAGTTGGTTATTTTTATGGCAGGCATTTGGGGGAAGTCATCCTACTGTAAGAAAGTACCCTATTAGAGTACTTCTATCAATGAAGTGATGGGCAGTATGATTGCACTATAGTCTGATGCCAAAATAAAGGATTCTGAGTCTCATGAAGACTGTAATTTAATAAATACTTTACGGGAAATCTGTAGGACCAGTATGCACATATAAATGTTTAATATTTAGCAATAATATGGATTTGTATGCTTCCAGTTTCCCTTATAACGCCACTAACATATGTAACATAGTAGTATATAAATATTTCAGATTCTGGAAAATTCTACAAAAATTATTCAATTACTTCAACAAATACATAAAAACAAATTTGTAGTAGACACTGTTATAAAAGAGATTTAAAATGTATAATTGTTAGGGGAAAAGGATGTCCAAAAGCTAATTCCATACAGGCTTTGTGGACTTCACCCCTGACTCCAGACCAAAGCCAAAAGACAATGGGAACTCCAAATCCCATCACCACCAAAGGGAAGGTTGCTGGGATCTGAGGGTGGGGTTAAGTAGCCAGATTTGGTATAAAACCAGACACATGGGCTTTTGGGGGGTGGGGGGGGTTCCTTTTTCTGGCTCTCTGCCAGCTCGCAGTGCTTGGCCAGCTCTTGGCCAGCTCTTGGAGTGTCTTTGGGTTTCCAGGTCGGCGGATCAGGTAGGCCGCATTAAAGACTTTATTTCCCTATTTTCTCCCTGAGTTGTACATTTCCTCATTTCCCTTTGCCTTGTAAATAAACATTTTATTAACCTTTTTTTTTTTTAATTAACCTTTTGTGTGTGCCTGTAGTGGAATATAAATAAGTCCCTTTCAAGCACGCAGATGAGGACCCACAGCCAGGCAACCCATTTTTATATCGGGGTTGCTCCATAACATAATGACTAAATAAAAAAACTAATCATAAACAATTAAGGAAAAGTGAATACAATATGATAAGCAGGAATTTTAGATTTTAAAGTGAGTAGTTATGTTTTCAAGAATTCACTGTTAAGAAATACCTGTCACCTCAATAAATAATAAATTAGAATTTCTGCTTTGCAATATTCTGTAAAAGCTGGAGTAAATAGATGAAAAAGGGGTTTCCCCTGGTGGCACAGCGGTTGAACGCTGGACTGTGAAGCTGCCCAAAGCCTCTGCAGCGCCGGTTCGATCCCCGGCTGCTCCCCGGCCACCGGAGGAGGGTCCCACATGGCGCGCAGACCTCTCCTGCCGCCCGCTGCTCCCCTCAGCAGTGTACTTCGGTCCTTCTGCCTGCTCTGCTCCCCGCTCTGGCTCTGGTGAATTCTCTCACCCTCCCGTGCTTCTGACTGGACCCAGCGCTTGTATAAATAAATAAATAAATCTTTTTTAAAAAAATAGATGAAAAGATGTTTAAAGTGTTAATAATTGAAAGTAGGAAAATGATACATGGGGATTAGTTATACTATTTCCTTGATTTTAATATATAGTTAAAATTTTTGTAAAAAATATTTTAAAAGATGAATTATATTTTAAGAAAAAATTCCAATGATTTCTTTTCACTTGGTAAGTAGTAATATATTCTTGGGGAATTGGTCATTAGGACTGCAGAGCAATAGTACAACCTCTTAAAATACTGTCATGTAAGACTTACATATACACTAGTTGGTTACTTTCTTTTTTTTTTTTTAAGATTTATTTATTTATTTATACAAGCACTGGGTACAGTCAGTAGCGCGGAAGGGTAAGAGAATTCACCAGAGCCAGAGCGGGGAGCAGAACAAGCAGACAGATGCTGCAGAAGCTACGGGCAGCTTCACAGCCTAGTGCTCAAGTGCTGCGCCACCAGGAAGGTCCTAATTGGTTACTTTCTTATGGCAGGATGACTTCCCCTAAATGCTTGCCATAAAAATAACTAACACAAATGGTTTTGAATATGCCACCGACTATGATGCTAACACTGGCGCCAGACTGCATTTGAGACTTCTCACTTAGCTGACTTTGTCTATCTTTCTTTCTCAAAATCCCCATGAAAATTCTGGGCTAACAAATTATACTGAATGTTTATGTTTGAGTTTATATGTCAGTATTTTATCAATTCTGAAGTAACCATCTATAAATTTTATTATATACTTTTCTCTTATAAAATTATATATTAAAGATATATTAGGGCATGCATTTTATTACTGGAATCCATAAATTGATCATGATTATTTTAAATCATGACTTAGTACTTTTCAAAAGAAGGAGATAGACTCGTGGTGTACTGAAAGTAAAATAAGATATTACAGAATGAGAAGTTAAATAACCATGTAAGAAAAATACTTTCTTAACTTATCAGGAAGAATGTCTATAAATCTGGGTCTATTATTACTTCATTGATGTAATTTTTAAAATATTGGAACAAATTATATTTATAGACATGTTGTAAGTATTTGTGGATGGCAAGTACTGCTGCTTGAAGCATTATCACATACTGAGGGAATATACATACCTCTAACTGGGAAGCTTAACTGCTGTAAAGTAGATGCACTTATACAGTAACCAATTTGGGGCTCATAGGTGATGGTATCTAGGCATTTATTCCAATCTTGCACATTAGTAACAGGGCAATCCTGTAGATGGGTGACAAGATCTCCCACAAAAAGACCTCTGAGTCCAACAGCAGGCGAGTCCTTAGGAAAGGGCAAATCAGATAATGTGTGAACACAAGCTGTGATTACAATGAGCAAATAAGAAAAACACCGAAACGAAGATATTTTTTTAATAATGCAGAACAAAACCAGCTAAAATTGCTTTGATTCCAGGACACAGAAATGTGGAACATCTATGGTTTTGGCAACTGAAAAAAATTCACTTGCTGATCAATAACATTAAAATGGTTAACAACTATCCCAGGTTGCTAATTTTCATTTTCTTCTTGGGGTAAAATTAGTCATTTGCCTTTGTGGCCCTAACACTTATTTTCTGATTGTGAGGTAAAAGTTCAGGAGAATTTCTAAATAGTATAAAATACTGTATTCTTGAAAACAGTATTCAAGAAATACTGAATTCTTGAAAACATAACTATTAGCAATATGAATGGATCACTTTAAGTCAGTTGCTCATGGAAAAAATTTCCTGTTCTCAATATTTGAATAAACATCTTTATGCTATCACATCAGTTTATTATATAAGGGTGTGAAATATAAACTTTAGAGAGTACTTTTACATTTCTATTAAATGTCCTGGCTGGCAAGTCTGTTTCTTCTTATTTTTTTTCTTAGGAATAAATACATGTGAATCAACAACAGGATACAAATATAAAGCTAAATTATACATTTTATCCAAAAACTATATGTAGATAATCTTGATATTATCTCTGTGACTCAGAACAAAGCCATTTTTATGATGTTTTTAAAAACCACTGTTGTATTGTCAGAGTGGGATTCTCTAGAAAAAATTATACAGAGATAGCAATTATAGCAGAAATTATAAAAAAAGTAATTTCTATAGATAAAATTGAGATTTTTGTTTATTATGAAAATCTGAATAAATGACTTCTCAATATTTCAAGAATTAAGTCACAAATATAAGAAATATCCCAAGCAACTTATTATTTACCTCTGTCACTTCAGTGATAAGTACCCCAACTCCAGTGTAATAAAATGGCAAGAGAATTACTGGTAGGAAAAGAAGAGCTAAAATACCCAAAAGTGCAAGTATGAAATTATGCCAGATGCCTGAAAAAATTAAAAAAGAGAAATAAGCACACTCTATGGCAATGATGTTCTTGTACTTTAGATTTTATAATACCTGTACATTCTAATAAATTGGTAAAATGGCCAAAACCTGTGAGGTAGATAAACCAACTTACTAGCTAAGCAGTTAGATACATAATTGGCATGATACACAAATTAATGCTGAAGTTAAAATATGAGTATTCTAATAACACATTTGAAAGATCAAATGGTAATATAACTTAGCACTAACTGAACACATGTTGTCAATATATTATACCAGAAGTTTCATAAAAATAAAATATTAATTTAAATAAAGGAGATATTTTTTAAAAACTTCAGGTTATTCAAATAAAAATTAATAGAAAGTGGAAAATTTCCACTGAACTGTGTTGAGCAAAACCGATGGCATTTGTAAAAAAGAACTTGTTTCTATTTTAAATGTTAGATCATAATCAAGTTTAGGGCCTGTGAAACAACATTTATGTCTTACATCACATCATAAGAATAACACATCACACGAATCCTCTTTTTACTACTTAAGAAACAATTAACAATATAGTATAGATTTTAGATTTCTCGCGTAAAGAACTGTATATATCATACCTGCCCACCACCAACAATCAATCAGCCTGACCTACCCGTTACCTCCCCACTCTTGCCCTCTGTAACCATCATTCTGTTTTCCAAATCTTCACCCAAATGTGTCCTACTTACAAACAACACAATAAGAGCCCATGGCCTGAATTCGGCATTCTCAATACTAACATTTTATAAGATTTAAATAATTTCATCAATTGTGTGGAACCAAGCATAAGTATTATAGCCATTGCTTTGTGTAACTGCCATTTTACAATTTAAGGTTTTGCTGGGTAAAGACTGCATTCCAGAGATAGTTTGGACCCTCACTCCACCCTTACTCTCTGGTCACCAATGAGGGCGAACTTGCTGTAATTGGAGCTGCAGGTTGGAGCTGCATCTTGGCCTGGCCAGTCAGCTTAGAATGATAGCCTGGCAAAGTTGGAGAACTCATCCTTGTAGCCAATGAGTAACTGCCAGCATAATTTAACCTTATTAAAGACCTCTGCTTCCTTTGTTCGGGGCTCTTGGTATCTGCCACTGTGTTGGTAGGTGCCATGAACCCGGACTCGAGTCTGCAATAAACTCCCTTTTGTGTTTGCATCAGCTGTCTTTGGGTTCTTGGAGGCTATGCTCGCCGAGTCTGATGACCTTGGGCACAACAAATTGAAAAGGCAAATGGTTTGAGATTCCCTACATGCAGGCATTCCTTATTCTCTGCTCTCACCCTTCTCTCTACCAGATGTGCTTGCCTCATCAGATCCTTCTAGCAGTTACAGCTGGGTGGCTACCCACCAACACCAGTCAAAGTCAGAGTGCAAAACATTCCATTCTCCTTATATACAGTTCAACAGTACCCTATAAAATATTCAGGGAACTTAAACCCTTAATCCTCTGCTTTGTCAAGGCACACCTCCTTATTCAGAATCACTCCTCCTACCAACTACAAAAAGGAATCTTGTCTGGCCTCTTCAATTCTTTCTGCATCTGGATCCCTAACTTCTCTTTCATAGCCAAACCTCGCTACAAGGCCAGCAAAGGTAACCCTCACAAACCTCTGGGCTCCCTTAAGGCCCTCATCCATCCACTAGCCCAAAAAGGCTCTCATTTCAATTACTCCCTAGTTCTTTCCAACCCTTCAAACTCTTTATCCACTGTGCCCAGACCCTTGGCCTCCTTTGTCAAAAAGAAGATAGCACAAGTGGACCCATTCACCAGCCCTTTCAGGTCCCACCCTCATACTCTCTCCAAAACCACACTCCTGACTTACCCCAAATAATTGCTTTTAACAGTCTCCTGCTTCTGTACTCCTTGCTTACTTTAAAGTACAAATGTACCCTGCAAAGGCAACTAATATCTAATTGCTCAGGTGTCAGACTTTGGAGAGGATCTCCTCTAAGTCTGCAGGTGGAAATAAAGATCTTCCCATCTCCTGAGTGCGGTTTGGTTCCCTAATGGAATTCTGCCATAAGAGTCTTAAAATCTAAAAATTAAAAATTGGAATGTAATAACTCTGAATACAAGTATAGTTGCGTTTAATAAGGAATAATGTATTTGGAATGGAATCTTTGAAGGTCTTGGAAAGAATTTAAAGATATACAGCAAAAAAAAGTGTTAAAGTTCTGAGAGGGATTAGTAAGAAGGTAAAAAAAAAAGTGCTGAAGGACTGAGAGAGGTGAAAATGTGATGTGCTTGAGTGACATGCTAAGCTTAATATCAGAACTTATGTAAAACCAAATTTTAATATCTTTTTTACCTACAGTAAGGACTCAAGTATTCTTGGGCTGCTTTCGACTCTGGTCAGGGACCAAATGATTACCTGTCTCCTTCAGGGCAGACAAAAGGCAATTATTAAGCCAGTCAATTATCATGTAGACCCAGCGACTGTAAAAGATCAACATTTTGGAGGTCTCCTTCATTAGCCAGTCTTGCCCTGACATCAGGCAGAGTCTCCAGAGACTGGACACAGCCTTCAGGGCCTACAATAATGTGGAGGGGATTAACTAGACTAACAAAAAGAAAGGGAGAAAGACAAGAGAAGGGCTCAGTAGATGGCAGTTGCCATTGTCACTGCCCTACCACCTCATACTCACCCAAGACTGCTGCATCTTAGGGCATTTGCCTGACCCTCTTAGTGGGCTGCCAGCAGCTTCCACTGATAGCAACTGGGACACCTCAGCCACAGTAAGCTGTCCCCAGAGCATTAAGAGAGAGATTGTCTCATCCTCCAGAGAGGGAGGGGGCTGGCCAACTCACAGGTTCTTCAGCTGCCTCTATCTCTATGAAGACCTCCTCGGAAGACCAGAGGTGAGATGGCTCCCCTGTTTATTGCCTCTATGGATAAGTCAGGTGATTCTAAGAGTGGCAAACAATTACCTCCTGGAAAAGATTACCTCCTGGAAAAGATTACCTCCTCAATAAGGGGCCATTAACTCTGCCATGCTCCAATTCTATGGACTAGTCAATTATTGCCCCCACTGGTAAATTCTTAACCAAAACAAAGAGACACCCCTCCCATTGGGAGAAAATTTCTGCATACAATACTACTTAATGATAAGGGACAGATCACAAAGATTTACAAAGAGCTGACTAAACTCAACAAAACAAAGTAAGCAACAAAAAATAGGCAGAGGAGCTAAAATGACACTTCTAAGAAAATGCAATTGGCCAACAGGCATATGAAAAAATGTTCAACATCCCTTATCATCAGGGAAATGCAAATCAAAACTACCATGAGATACCATCTTACACCAGTGAGAATGGCACATACTAAAAAAACTAGCAACAATAATTGTTGGCGAGGGTGTGGAGAAAAAGGAACTCTCCCATATTAAATTGTGCAATTTTGGTATGCTGAGGTGACATATTAAGTCAGAAATTAAAACACATTAGATGGTTTTACTCACCTGTGCTCTAAAACAAAACAAAAAACTCACGTAGGCAAAATATAGCAGGAATAATTTTTTGAGGAGTCAAATGAGGCTTTTTCCTCTCAAATTATGTGTGTTGAGGAAAAGTTATTATCTGTTTTAGAGATTAAATTTAAAAATTTTAATAGATGTCTATTTCTCACCCAGTGAAAACTCAGTGAAAAAAATTTAATGCTTACTAGAAGGAATGGAGGGGAATGGCAGCAGGGAATGGAATGATCACAGCAAAGAATGTATTTCCATGGGTGGTTGGGTAGAGGATGAATGAAACACATGCACATATGAAAAAATAAAAATGTTACACCTAAAAATAAGACCTCCCAGGTAGTAATCTGATATGAGGTTTTTTAATTTTAAGTTATCTTTGTTAAATTGTTATAATTTAATCATTATGCAAAAAGTGAAAGTGATAAGCTTTGCTACTTAGTGATTTAACTATATTCTTCATTGTAGCTTTACAGTACTTTCTTTGTAGCACCCAATTAAAATTTCTATCTCCAATACTTGAATTTTTAAGTAAATATTTTGTTTAATTAATATGTGGTAGTTGGATTTCATTGCCTTTTTGTTCAGTTTAGCTTTGGTTCTAAGTGGTCATATACAATGAAATCTCCTGGGTACAAACCGGGTGTTTTGCTTATAATATACTTTAATTTATCCAAGAATACTTCCTATATGTTCCTTATAACAACTTATCTCTCTTATATGTCATTATAAACTAAATGTTAATTTAATAGTTTCATAATAAATCAAATTATAAGATTTATATTTATTTGTAAGATAAGCAAGAAAAAACTTCATACCTTAATGTTCACCTGTCTGTCTTACAGATGGGTAAGATCTCTGAGACAAATGCTAAATAACTGTGATGATAAGTGTTATTTTGGTTGTTTTTCATAATTTAAATAAAATAACAGTCAAGCAACAGGAAGAGTTTAGATTACTTTGACTAATTTTATTCAGGTTTATGTCATCTTATCCAGTGAGACTAGGACACAAATGGGGAAAAAAATACTCAACATTGGATTATTTAGGACTTAAGATTTACAACATGCAAATTGCTAAAGAAAATCTGGCAATGATGAAAGCAGCAAGAGAGTCACTTGTGAAGGAATTTATACTTTCTTAACTTCTTTACTTTTCCATTTACACATTTCTGTTACTTTACTGTATGTGCAATGTATTTAAGACCTCAGTTTCCAAAGTTATCCAGTTATTTAACATACATTGATATAGGAGTATAATAATTTTACTAAGTATAATCAATTTTACAATCCAGAATTATATTCTTGCATAGATCTATGTTAACCTTGACACAACACACATATATGATAAGTAAGGCTGGATATAAAACAGACAACATCTACAATAGTTACAGTCTGGTTACCCGATTTCCAGATTAGCTGTACAGGTTCCCACTAATATCCAATTTTTTCTTCGTAACACCTGTCCTAGGAACTTTAGGTTTTAGAATTAGACCCATACACAATAGCCTCTAGACAGCTGCAGCAACTATGTGAAGGTAGAAACTGAAAGATGTGGTGTAGACATATCTGTGTATACAGAGGGCATATGCATGTAGGTACTTTCTTTTAAAAGTTATTTTTCTCTATATGAGTTATAACTACAGAAGGGTTCATCTATCTATCCTTGCACAATACACCATCTTTATTACTAAATTATTTTCACTCACCCCTTAGTTGGCTCTTCTTTTCCTTGGTTTGATAAAACTCACTACATTTTAGCTGTTTCATTCTTTTAATAATTTGGACTTAAATAAATGTTTTTATCCTGTCTCTTAACCCAAAGTCTTATCGAACAAATTTGTCAACCAAAAAAACAAGTAGTTTTCATTTCTGATAAGCATAATTTTTATAAACCTGTTGTCAATATACAGATAAATTTTTCAAAAAATAATTTGTCTGTTACCTGCACAAAATATTCTCAACTGCTGAACTGGTGATATAAGTTGCAAATGGGTAGTGAACAGATCAACAAATGCTCCAGGATAAATAATGAAGAAAAAAATCCCAAAGCCATTAAATCGAACTTGTTCCCTAAAAAAATCACATCAGAAAAAACATTTTACTAATGCAATTGTATTTATTAAATTAATGCAATTACATAATCTTAAGACTCCTAAGTATAAATTCAAATTCTTACTTGAAAAATGAATATTGATACCCCATACTAACCAAAACAACTCTGAGTTTACTTATATGATTTTTAATAGTTTTTAAAAGATTTGTATGTGTATGAAATCTAATTCTTTTTTTTTTACTAAAAATAAATTTTATTTAAAACTTTACATGTGCTGTGAACTTGCAGAAAGTGAAAACAAGCAAAACAAGTGGCAATAAGATAAAAAGAACCAAACAAAAAAAACGCAGCCCCCAAATTGCATTCTTAGTAACTGATCATTTAAGGATTTTGTGTGTTTTTTTAGCCTTAAAGGTCATTATTTCAGGAAATAAATAAATAAGCATATTCCAAAGGATAAATGGGGGTAAGCATCAGAGTGGGATCCAAAGGTGACCCCTGTTTGGAAAACAGGTACAGAGCATGTTCCCACCTTTCTTTTTCTTTTGTTTTTATTTTTTTTATTTTAACATTTACCATTTTTTACATTTTTTAGACAATATTTCCTTGCCCCTATCCCCTCAGATTGAGTCCCCATAGAATGAATTCTAATTCTTTAAAACAACATTATAATAAGGTAGATGAGAGTCAATGGCTGAAAAGAGAAAAAGTAGCAGCTAAATAAACAATGTGCAAAAAAATTGACAAATTTTTAAACGTTGAGAATTTAGAAACTATATGACTTGATAATTGAGATGAAAAAAGGGCAAAACGAAAATTACATATGACTCTCAAAATTCAGTTATCCAAATAATGTCAATTAATAAAAAAGTCAAACAGAGAAAGTAAAAGAACAAAGGTAATAATGAGTGAAAGCCACACCATATATATGTCCACAGTGATATATTGGTTTTTATGTTTGATATAAAATGCAGGAGAAATATCTGGAGTCAAAATACATAGAAGTTGTCAGTCCCTAGATCATAATAGTAGGGGATGCAATTTGTTTGAGGGAATGTAAAGATAAGCAAAGATTCAGGAGAGAATATGGTTGTTCAGCACTTTGGAAAAGATGAGAGGCATGCATTCTGTGAACTGAGAAAATTATAGTCTCATGGCAGTTAAGTATCAAAGTGGAGCATGTATCCCTTGCCCCCCACAATACACACACAGACTTATTTTATATACATACACAGGTATGTATAGATACATACACATATATGTGTACACACACACATGCGTATATCTATGTATATGAAACCTTAATGTGTTCTATAATCATTTAGTATTGAAAGCCCAAATGAACACCTTTGTAAAACTAACTTTTCTTGACAAGTATTATTTTAAACTGAAATTATTCAAATTATTTCACAAATAGCTTTGAATGGTTAAATCATTAATAATGCATCTATATAAAAATATCCTAAAAGCCACATAGCTAAATATTTGTTGATGTCAAAGTAAAAAAAAATAGTAGATATCTACTTAAGTACCACGTTGATGTGTGAGATACCATCTGCTTGATTAAGATGATGATTTATTTATTTACTAGTCAGGCTACCCCTGGTCTGATTAATTTTCCTCTACAAAAGTAATTCTTAACCTTAAGCTGACCCACCCAGCCCAATTATCAAACTCAGCTGGTCTTTATGGCAGTGACTACCAGTAGAAATCAGAAGAGCTGTAACTTGTCCTCTCAGAAATCAGTATTTTAGACATTGAGTAGATTGTTAAAAAAATCCAGGTAAAATTGAATGATGAATTGTGGCTAGCCAAGACCAAAATCTGGTCATGACACTTCAAAAAAAGCCCCATGTCTCATTTTCCAGCTTCTATTTGGGTTTCAAGATAGTACACTAGTTTGTAACAACAAACCAAGAATTTCAGTTTTCTTGTTCCAGCTAATAGATACACAAACAGAGAGAAAAATATTCAATCTGATAAGTCAAAAACACACTAAGCAAGAAGATACTTGGGTTTTGAGAACAATGGTTATCAATCTAACTCATATAAATAGAAATGTGTTTAAGATTGGATGCAAATCCTTGAAGCACCACAGAATTTAATCATCTGGGGAAAAGAAAGTACCAGGATCATAGATGTGCACATGGTTAACATAGTCATTAATATCTTATTCATTTCCATAAAGCATAAACTACCTCAAAATACCAATAGTGGCTATATACAATACCTATGGAAAGTAAAAACACCAAAGAAGAAAAATAGTACAAAAACTTACTACATTGTTTATTATACATATATTAAAAAAAGAAAGATAAATGTAGTTTACCTAATGGCTGCAATCCCATGTCCAATTTCATGTACAACACCACTAATGAGCACTGCAGCAAAGAAATAAGTCAGTTGATTGATAGGTAGATTTATACCAGGAACCTATTCAAAAACACAATCAAAAATAAATGTGGGCACCAAAAGACCACAGCATTCATTCTGTATTAAAGCTTAAACCTCTAAATTATTATGTAACTTAGTATGTAAAACTAATCATTAATATTAATGATTTAGATCTCAATTTCTACATAGTAAAATAAAAACTAGTTTATTTTTTAGTAACAACACAACACCAATCTGAAAAAAGTAACAAACACCAAATTAAAAACAGAAAATTTTGCTTACTTAAGTCTTAATTATGGCAAAGAAACAGGAAACCTGGGCTAGAGTCACAGTAAAGGTGTGAGCAGCAGATCTATTCTCAGTGAATAGATGCCTTACTTGGGAGTTCTTCCTAGTACTACCAACTTTTCATATAATAAATAATATAATGTAAGGACTTTAATGAATACTACCTTTTTCATGTATACACAGACATTTTACTTAAGAGGTCTAGGCAAAGAATGGGTAAAAGAATATGTATTTTTTTCATGCTCATTATCTGAAATCTCTTCTCTTAATCCTAAGAAATAGCCTTTAAAAGAAAGCCAAGGTTCATTTTCTGCATTCTCAGAATATATTTATCCAAATCAGTTTTCCTTTCCCTAACAATTTCCTATATCTATCTGTCTACCTATCTATCTGGATACACATACATGTAAAATAGTTTTCATCCACTCTATATAGGAAAGAATTTTGATCGCATTATCTTTATTTCAAATAACCCCCTGCATTCGATCTACTAGAACATGGTTTCATTTCATTATTATTGTCTAAAGATAATGGGTTATGGAATATATATAAGAGGACTTCAAATGCATGAGAATACATACCTAATTACCCATATATTTCTGTAATGATTCAAGAGAATACTGTATCTATAACTACAATATTGACTTATGAACAATAACTAATGCCAGGTTTTGGGAATTATTGTTAAATAACTCAGTAGGTAATTACAAAGTAAACAGAAATTACTGTCCCTGCCCCCTACTAGCTGCCCAAGCCACGAAGACCAAGTCCAGAGCTGCAACTTTGGGGTGGAGTAGGTCCCAGGAAATATGATCCATAGACCTTCTGCCCTCCTTGCTACCCAATATATCAGAACCAAGTACAGATTTGCTTTGGGGGAGGCTTTTGCACCACCTCAGATACTATAAGGCTTCAACAGCTATGCCCACCACCTGGCAAATCCCAGAATAGTGAAAAAGTACCCACAAACAATAGAAGCCTAAACAGCTGCACAAACCTGAAAGAAAACAACAAGAAGAAAAACACACATAGCCAACCTGTCTTCAGTAGAAAAAAACACCACACAGAGAGAGCAAACTACCAGAACCCAACATCGAAGACCCAACAAGGAGGAGTTTTCATTACTTTCAGATGCAGAGAATACAAAATGCCCATAATCAAACAAAGCAAAGAAATTGAACAAGAGAACTCAGAAAAACAGTTCAGAAATAGGTAACTGGAAAAGCAAATTAATACTATAATAAACAATCAATGACTACAAAAATAAAATCAAAACTTGAAACAAGAAAATGATGAAATTACAGAACATAGATCAACAGAAGAGATGAAAGACTAGAGAAAACCTAGGAATTAGAATAAACCAAATGGAAAATTGACAATGAACTTGAAGATGCAAGTGGCGAAAGAATCAAGATAGAAAAAGAAACAGGGCCTCCCTAGTGGTGCAAGGGGTTAAGCACAGCACTATGAAGCTATCCATAGCCTCTGCAGCACGAGTTCGATCCCCAGGCAGGGAGCTACACACATGGTGCAGCAGACCTCTCCTGTCTCACCCGCTGCTCCCCTCAGCATTGTATTTCAGTCAGTTCACCTGTTATGTTCCCGACTCTGCCTCTGGTGAATCCTCTTACCCCCACACCTCCAGCCTATACCCCAGTTCTTCCATGTATAAATAAATAAATCTTTTTAAAAAAGAAACAGATACGATAGGGAAAATAAAGAATTATTTCTAGAATTATCTAATTCCCTGAGGAAAGGAAATATGAATGTTAACTAACATAGAAGGCAAAGAGAGAGAACTAAAAAGCTATTTACTTCACTAAAACTATTTAAGGAAGAAATGGAAGAAACTCTAAAACTTGAAGAAGGAACTGAACATATAGAGCAATCTAAAATAACACTAAATTACCTAAATAAAAGAAAACTTATAGCAAGACATAGAGTAAAATTCCCAAGAGTCCAACAAAAAAATAACAAAGCTGATGAGGGGGAAACAGATAACTTATAAAGGAATCTCAATTAGAGTAACATAAGACCTTTATGAAGAAACACCATGGGCAAGAAGAGAATGATGTGACATACTCAAAATACTCCTATATAAAAATTTCCACCTCAAATGCAATGCTCTCCTCCTACATGAGAGAATAAGGGCTTTTTCAGAAAAACGAAACCTTTGGGAACTTGCTAAAACTAAACCTCAGTGTAGCAGGTTGAGTGCAATGCTATAATGCTGTCTGTAGCCTCTGCAGTGCAGGTTTGATTCCCAGTCAGCCCGGGAGATACCCACATGGTGCAGCAGACCTCTCCTGTCTCCCCGCTGCTTCCCTCAGCAGTGTCTTCATCCGTCTGCCTGTTCTGCTCCCCACTCTGTCTCTGGTGAATCCTCTCACCCCCCTAGGCCTCTTGCCTGTATCCCAGCTTTTATATGAATAAATAAATCTTTAAAAAATATACAAGTAATATTAAAAAGATTTAGTATTTAAAGTATGAATATGAAGAACTGAACAAGGAATTAAACAGGATCACAAAACTATGGACAAAATGACACAAGATTTTCCTGTATCAGCAATCACTATATGTCAATAAACTGAACTCACCAATAAAAGCACAAACAGGATCTAGTTGTATTAGGAAACAAAATACTACTTTCTTCTGCATCCAGAAAACACATTTAAGTTCCAAAAATAAATATAACCAAAAATAAAGGGATGGAAAAATATTCTATAGGCAATTGTCCCCCAAAGGAGGGTATGGACAGTCACATCAAATAAAATTTGTTGTTAGAAAAGGTAGTAAGAGACATTGAAGGAATCTATCCTCGTGATTAAGGGGACAATACTCCAGAAAGACTTAACATTGATCAATAGACAGTCATCAAAAATGAGTACCAAAAGGGCCTCCCCTCATGGTTCAGCGGTTGAACGCTGGACTGCGAAGCTGCCCGCAGTCTCTGCAGCGCCGGTTCGATCCCCGGCCGCAAAGCGAGGGTCCCACATGGTGCGCAGACCTCTCCTGCTGCACCTACTGCTCCCCTCAGCAGTGTATTTTGTCAGTCTGCCTGTTCTGTTCCCTGCTCTGGCTCTGGTGAATTCTCTCTCCCGCCTATGCTTCTGACTGTACCCAGTGCTTGTATAAATAAATAAATACATCTTTAAAAAAAAAAAAAAAAAGAGCACCAGAATACTATTACTATCAAACTGGAAACAGATATTGGAGAAAATGTATATATATGGTTGGAGATTGCAACACCCCACTCTCACCTAAGCACAAATAAAAAATAAAAAATGAAATAGAAAATTAAAAAAGAAGGTAATTGTCCCAAATAAAGAACTTAGGTTCAATAAATATTTAAGGGGTACTACGACCCTCAAAAACATCTGAATACACATTTTTCCTCAAGTGCCCATGGGTCTCTTTCTAGGACAGACCACATACTGGGTAACAAACATCAACTTATTTAAGATTGAAATCATGACAGGAAATTTCTCTGACCATAACATTATCAAACTAGAAATCAACTACAAAAAGAAAGCATGACGACCTGTAATAGATGAAGACTGCTGGTATAAATCAGAAATCAAAGAAGAAATGGAAAAAATAACTCAAGACAAACTGTAATAAGGATACAACTTTCCAAACTGTAAAGGATAAGCAAAAGCAGTACTAGTTTGATAGTTTGATACCTTTATGGTCAGAGATGTTTCCTGTTATGATTTCAATACAAATGAAATAAAGAAAAAAGAAAGAGCTGAAGTAAACCACCTTATATATTATCCCAAGGAAGTAGGAAAGAGAAGAAAAAAAATTCAGAAGTCAATAGAAAGAAAACAAAAATTAGAAAACAACACCATGAAATAGATATAACAGACAGTAAACATGCTGCCAAAGTGAGTGTATATATAAATATGAATGCATAAAGACAGCAAAATAAAAATCAGTGAAATCAAGTTAGTTCTTTTTATTTTCAAAGATTTATTTATTTGTTTATTTTTAAAGATTTATTTTTTTTAAATAAACATATTTTTATACAAGAATAGGGGTACAGGCCAAATGCTTGGGAGGATGAGAGGATTCACTGGAGACAGAGGGGGGAGCAGAACAGGCAGACTGACTGAAATACACTGCTGAGGGGAGCAGTGGGTGAGACAGGAGACGTTTGCCGCACCATGTGGGACCCTCACTGGCCCGCCAGGATCGAACCCAAGCTTCAGAGGCTGCGGACAGCTTCACAGCACGGCGGTCAACCGCCTGCGCCACCAGGGAGGCCCCAAAAGTTAGTTCTTAAAAATATTAACAAAATTAAAAAACCTCTAGCCAGATTCACTAGAAAAAGAGGAAGGAAATTCAAGTAAATAGGATCAAGAATGAAAGAGAAGTTATGAGGCTCTGAAGAAATTCAGAAATTCCTATGAACATGTACATGCAAACAAGTTCTACATCCTAGAGGAGGACAGAATTTTAGAATTAAAACTGAATTATCCAAATTTGAATATGTAAGAAATAGAAAACCTGAACACACTAATCACAAGCAAGGAAACTGGAAATTCTCCCCCCAAAGACAAGTCTGTGCCCAGATATTTCATAGGTAATTTCTATCAATTTTTCAACATGAACATATATCCTGCTCCAATTCTTTCAAAGGCAGAGAAATAGGAATTCTCCCAAACACATTCTATGAGGCCAGCATCACACTAGCACCAAGACCTAACAAAGATAACACAAAGAGTCAACTACAGATGACTCTCCTTAATGAACACAGATGCAAACAGCTTCAATGAAATCCTAGCAAACCAAATCCAACAATGCATCCAAAAGATAATATATGTAACTGAATGGGATTTATATAAGGAACTCAGATGGTTCAACATCTAAAAATTAATCAAAGTAGTTCAAATAAACAGAAAGATATGATCATATCAATAGATGCTAAAAAATCATTTCATAAGATTTAGTATTCATATATAATGAGAAAGTCTTAAAAGCTGGGAAAACAGAACATACCTTAAAATAATAAGAGTCATGTATGACACACCCACAGCTAGACTCATTCTCAATGACAAAAACTGAAAGCCTTTCCACTAAGATCTACAAGCAAGTATGTCCACTGCCATCACTATGATATAGTATTCTCAGCTAAAGCAATAAAGCAAAAGAAAGCTATAAAAAGAATCCAAACTGGGAAGGAAGTTATTATTTTCAGCTGATATGGTAATATATGGAAAGAAGTTCAAAGACTCAATGCTAAGACTTAAACAATAAACCAATTCGGCAAGGTAGCTTCATGCAAACTGAACAAACAAAAGTCAGTTGCCTTCCTATACGCAAGCAATAAACTTAAAGAGAAAGAAATTAAGAAAGCCATCTCATTTACATCATCCCTAAAAAAATAAAAGTCTAACAAAGAAGGTGAAAGACTTATAAAAGGAAAACTATGAAACATTTTCAAATGAGAACACCTGAAGAAATGGAAATACATAACCTGCTCATGGATAGAAAAAAATCAACATGGTGAAAATGACCATCATCCCCAAAATAATGTACAGATTCACTGCAAACCCAATGAAAATCTCAGTGATATTCTTCAAAGAAATGGAACAGTTATTGCTGAAATTGAGATAGGAAGAACAAAAGATTCCAAATAGCCAAGCCTTTCCTAAGTTAGAGTGTGGATATTACACTTCAGGATTTCAAATTATATTATAAACCATAATAATTAAAACAACATGGCTCTGGAACAAAAACAGATACAAAGACAAGTAGAATAGAATTAAGAGCACACAAAAAAAATCCACACATTTATGGGCAACAACTCTACAACAAAGGAGCAAAATACACACTGGACCAAGAAAAACCTCTTCAATAAATGTAGCTGGGAAAACTGAACTGCCATATGAAACAGAATGAAACTAGAGCATTATCTCATACCATATGTGAAAACCAACTAAAAGTGGATAAAAGACTTGAATGTAATACCTGAAACTATGAAATATGTATAGATGAAAACACAGGCAAAATACTTCATGACATATGGGCCTCCCCAGTGGTGCAGCGGTTGAGTGCTGGGTTGCGAAGCTGCCTGCAGCCTCTGCGGCGCCGGTTCAATCCCCGGTTGCTCCCCAGCCACCGGAGGAGGGTCCCGCATGGTGCGCAGACCTCTCCAGCCGCCCGCTGCTCCCCTCAGCAGTGTACTTGGGTCCTTCTGCCTGCTGGGCTCCCCGCTCTGGCTCTGGTGAATTCTCTCACCCTCCCGCGCTTCTGACTGTACCCAGTGCTTGTATAAATAAAAAAAAATAAAATAAAATAAAAAAATAAAAAAATACTTCATGACATACCCTTTAGTAATATCTTGAGGACTTGTCTCAGAATTACAGAAAACAATAGAAAATATGTAACTGTGACTATGTTAAACTAAAAAGCTTCTGTACAGCAAAAGAGACAGCAACCACATGAAGAGACACTCTACTAAGTTGGAGACAGTTTTTGCATACTATACATATGGCAGGAGATTGACATTGAAGATTTACAAAGACCTTACATAACTCAATAAAAAGAAAGCAAACAATTCAATGAAAACTTGGGCAGAAGAGCTAGACAGACACTTCTCCAAAAAGGAAATGCAAATGGCCAACAGGTATATGAAAAAATGTTCATTAACACTTATCAGGGAAATGCAATCAAAAACCACAATGAGATACCACCACATACTTGTGAGAATCATCCATAATAAATGAAAAAGAACAAATGCTGGCGAGGATGTGGAGAAAAAGAAGCCTCTTATACTGCTGGTGGGGATGAAACTGGTCCAACGACTATGGAAAATTGTGTGGTGGTTACTCAGAACACTAAAAATATATCTGCCATGTGACCTAATGGGCACAAAAACACCAATTCTCAAGGAAATCATATATTATAGCAGCTCTCCAGACAATAGCCAAGACAATGCCCCAAATGAGAGGAGAGGATCAAGAAGATGTGATACATATACACAAAGAAACATACTTAGTGATCAAAAAAGATAAACTCATGTCATTTACAGCAACATGGATGGAGCCGGAAAGGATTAAGCTCAGTGAAATAAGTCAAAGGAAAAAATAAATACAAAAATGGTATCACTAATATGTGAGATATTGAGAAGCCAAGCAAAGGTCAGACAAAGACAAACTTTAAAACTTATCTTAGAAAGCTGGATATAGTTGTGAAGCATCTAGGAGGGAGGGCAAGGGGGATGAGAAGAAGGGGAAGAAGTCAGAGACAGTGCTAAATTAACAACGATGGAGCAGTATGGGTGTTATGGTGGTGGGAAAATATGATGGCCACATCTGAGAGCAAAATTTTTAGAATGTTAAAGAATTAACAGTGTAACATAATGGCAGTTCATTAAAAATGAAGGTAAAAAGAAATAAAGAAGAAATATTTTGTCTATAGTACAAAACTCATAATGAAAGAGAGGAGCCATAACAATAATTTGTACTATAATCTTACTTTTGTCCATTTTTGCACAGGTATATTATGCACTGGTGAATAAAAAATTCCTGGAATGCAATTCCTATATATATATTGTTATTTTTTATCTCCTGCACTATCTCATTTCTGTGGCATGACCTTTAACCTTTCTACTATCGCATGCATCCTAACTATAAGTTACAATTCCTCAAGAATTATTTTTTCTTAAGAGTACTATAGCATTTTGCACACAGGCTCTGAGTCAGTGATAGATGACTGGTGGTCCTACTGCTTACACAACAAGACAAAGGGCAAATTATATAACATCTTTGATTCTTGATTTTTCTCACTCATACTCAACACTTTCCTCACAATTATATTAAGAATGAAATAAAATGGGCACAAATCCTCATACATGAAGCAAATTATTACCATTTTACCTCTACTACCTTTCTACATTGGAAGGTTCCTTCTCTACCTGCCTTTTCCAGAATATTTGGAAACTTCTCACCCTTCTATCGAAACTGCCCTGTACTAAACTGAACAGTGTATTATATTAACTATTGATTAAAAATATATATCCATGGTTCCTGTGACTGGAGAGTACAAAATTAAAACACTATTGTACATGAGCAACTATTGGACATGTACATGGGTATATTTTGTACTCAATGTAAAAACTGGAAGTAACTTAGCCAATGTTAGAACATTTTCAAAATGCTGGATGTTACAAGATAAAATATAGTAAAATATATGTACTTTAAAGTGAGAATTATTACAAAGAGTTTAACACGTAAAGATTATAACTTATCACATCAAAACTCACAATGTCCATTCAAGTCTGATTTCTTTAAATAAGAAGGTGTAATTGATTAGATGCTATAGTAGTTATCTCTCAAAAAAATATTTCTGAAAGGCCCTGTCAACTTCATATAATTCCCTTTCCTTGAGTAGCTGCAGGGACTTGTTAGAATCAAAAAGAATATGATAATATTGATTAAATTTCTGTTATTGGAATATAAAACACTGTGGGTTCGGCCTTGATGTAATTCTCGTTATTAGCTTATGGTTTACATGTTATGATGAAACAAGCTGCCCATATGAAAAGGCTTACGCGGTAAGAAAGTAAAGGTGGTTTTCAGCTAACAATCAGCAAAGGAATGAGGGCCTCAGTTCATAAATTCTTGAAGAAATAAATTTCCTAAAAAGAGTTAAATGAGCTTAGAATATTATATTCATAGAGGTGCAGAAAGAGGGCCCAAATCTTAGGATCATAAAGCACAAGACTGAATCATATTCTTCGTAAAACATGTAACTGCTAACTCATAGAAGTGCTGTTATTTCAAGTCTCTAACTTTAGGAGTGTAATTATTATGAAGGAATAAATAATTAATAAATAACTAATAATAACTCTTTTTGAGTCTGAAAACCTTGAAAAGACAAATATTTTGCTAAGGTTTAAATGCCATTAACACATAATAGTGATTTTAAATAATCAACTTAATTTTCTATACTTTCAAGTTTAATCTTAAGAAGAGAACTTAAATTGATTATTTACTGGTGAATTCACAGTCAATTCATCAGTGAATCATTTCTTCTACTATTACCTAATACTGCAACATTTTTTACTAATTCTTAATATATTCTTACAAATGTTTAAAGCATTATTAATTTTCAATATATGTGAGATTATTTTCATATTTATATATATATATATTTTACAAAGCCCTTTTAAATAAATATTCAGTTACACTGCACAGGCTAACATTTTACATGTATACTTGAATTTGTTTGAAAGAACGACACTTACCACAACCTGTAGTACCTGCTCACCATAAACTGAAGAGGAGGACGAAGATGAAGAGGAGGAAGAAGAAGAAAAGGAGGAGGAGGAAGCAGAGGGAGAAGCAGCAGCAAAAGAAGATGAGGAGGAATAAGAAGAGGGAGAAGCAGCCATCATTTGTGCCAAAGTCTGCATTAATGTTTTTCCAAGGAGGAAAAAAGAACCAAACATGGCAATTACTCCAAACACCATTCCAAAGTTGAACCTGTCAAGAGGAAAACTATAGAAATGAATAATTTCTCGTAATTCAATACTAGGAAGTAATCTCCTCAGTTAGATTTTATTTATTTTTTAATTTAATTTTATATATTTTTTACATCAAAATTCATTTTTTGCACAATGTATGCATTTTTATCTTGGTTATAGTCTATATACAATTCCCACCACCCTGTTTTGACCCTATTACCTCCTCTTTTTCTTCCCCCTCCTAGTACATTTTAAATTGCAGATAATCAAGATAACTGGTTACAAATTTCAGTAATTTTGATTCTTTCACCTACTCAAAGTTCAGCTATTTGATTGAAGCAGTTATTCAACTGTCTTTTGTTATTTATTGTTCAATCGCCAATTTATCAGTTTTGGAAAATTCCAATTATCTGAAAGGCTAAATTTAATTTTGCTTCACTTTGCTCATGTACAATAGTGTTTTAATTTTGTACTCAAACATTACAAAGGCTTTGTTAACATGACATCATTTTTACATATTTTTCACTTTAATTTTAGCCTTGTTTTGTGTGAACTGAGTTTTTTAACATAAGATACATGATCACTTTCTTCCTTTGTTATTTTAATAATTATCTTTCTATAGTAGAGAAAAATATTTATATTTTCTATTAAATTTTGGGTAATAGCTCAAGAACCTTGTCAAATTGTAAGTAGGTTTTAGTATTTATGAACAATAGGTTTTAGTATTTAATATCTACAGATTCTGTACAATGCTGATTTTTCTTTTTCTTTTAATCAGTCATGATGATCAGGTCATAGTAATAAAAGGTTTTATGAATTTACTTGATGTTTTGAAAGAATCAAAAATTTTGGCTTTGCTGATTTTCTCCAGATCTGTTTTCTATTTCATTTATTTCTGCTCATATATTTATTAATTCCTTATTTCTATTTCCTTTGATATGTTACTATGACATTTTCTGCTGATGCTTCTGATAACTTATGCAATAATATTTACTTTTACATAATTTAGAGCTAATTTTTTAACAAAAAGGAATTTACACAAAGTCCTCATATCTTGCTACACAAGATAGACAGAATTCTGATTTCTGGAGTGCCCCAGAGATTACTGTAAACCAATCAAAGCACCACTGACTCCCTGACTTCAATCCTAAAGTAACTGACACAATTCTTTGGGTTAAGATAGGTAAATGGTAAAAATTAAAAAACTTGATAGAAGGGAAAAATACTGAAATTTTTAATTTCACAAGATATTTCTAATAATCAAAATGAAAAATTCAAGCCAAAAAAGAGAAAAATGAAGTATACCACTGGTAAAGCAGCCTTGCTTTCCGATGTCCCCAAATGTAAAATGCACGATTGAAAACAGCAGTTTGCCATCTTATGTGAAAAGGGGAGATGGTCAATCCATTGTTTTCCAGCCAGTCTTCATAAGAATGCTTAAAATGAACCGATGACTAAAAGAGAAGAAAAGGTCCACATCACTCAAATTTGAAAAATCATTTGTATTGTAAGGGAAAAAAAAAGAGAAGTATTTTCTTTAGCTAATCATGCTATTGGTTGCCCAAATTTACAGTTTTTAGGTTTTTCTATCTCAATGCATCTAGACAGATGATAATAAAGTAATATTTTCTGTAAACTCAAAGTAGCTGGTTTATGTTTATTCCAGAAATTTTGTTACCTTAGAGAAGAAAGACATCAGAGGGCCTCCCCGGTGGCGCAGCAGTTGAGCGCTGGGTTGCGAAGCTGCCCGCAGCCTCTGCAGCGCCGGTTCATCCCCGGCTGCTCCCGGTCACCGGAGGAGGGTCCCACATGGCGCGCAGACCTCTCCTGCCGCCCGCTGCTCCCCTCAGCAGTGTACGTCAGTCCTTCTGCCTGCTCTGCTCCCCGCTCTGGCTGTGGTGAATTCTCTCACCCTCCCGCGCTTCTGACTGTACCCAGTGCGTGTATAAATAAATAAAATCTTAAAATAAAAAAAGAAAGATATCAGAATGGTCATGTTGTTTTACTTACAAAAAGGTGCCAGAGATTAGTTCTCCTTGTTTTCTTACCAAAATACCCCAAAGTAATTAAACTGAGTTCCGTAACATATGTATTTTACAACCTCTTATATTTGCAGACCCATTCTTTCTAAAAGAACTTGTTAGGATAAGTAGTCAAAGATAAGCCATGATATACTATACTATATTTAAACTACACTATCAGTGACCCTGACCTGATGAACATACTACTAATACTAGAATAAACATTCTTTTGAAAGGCAGGTAACATAATTAGCAAGTCAAAACATGTTTAGGATTATTAAAAGGTCTAAGCACATTTCTGAATGACACAAATAATAGAAAATCTATTTTCAGACCACAATGAAATAAATTAGAAATCACTAACAGGGAGCCTGCCTAATGGCCTAGGGGTTAAGTCTCAATAATATTGATCAGTGGGGCCATGTTTTATTGTAATGTTGTAGGTAACAGTGTATTTTCTCTTTCTTTAAATAGACTACCAATATTTTCTTGACACGTGCACCTCTTTATCTTCCTACCAGGTGGTGTCATTTCATATGTCTCAAATATATTCCTTTTAAGGTTTCATATGATTAAAATGAGGCAATCCAGATAAATAAAAGATAATCTCATTTAAAGATATCTGATTTTATAGATCGACATATAGATGACATTGTAGTATAAATATCTTTTTTTCCAGATTTATTTATCCATGCACTGGGTACAGTCAGAAGCGCGGGAGGGTGAGAATTTCACCAGAGCCAGAGCGGGGAGCAGAGCAGGCAGAAGGACCGAGGTACACTGCTGAGGGGAGCAGCGGGCGGCAGGAGAGGTCTGCGCGCCATGCGGGACCCTCCTCCGGTGGCCGGGGAGCAGCCGGGGATCGAACCCGCGCTGCAGAGGCTGCGGGCAGCTTCACAACCCAGCGCTCAGCCGCTGCGCCACGGGGGAGACCCTGTAGTGTGAATATCTTAATCTTACTACATATCCATGCATCAAACAAGAAATCAAAAGGAAGTAAGAAAGAATTTTGAAATAAATGAAAATAAAAATATGGTATATAGAATACTGTTAAAGCAGTATTTGTTGGTCAAGATGAATAAATAACATGAAACATATTTTAAAAAGTCCAGTCAGATCTCAAGTTAAGAAAATAAAGAAAAGGGCAAATTAAATCCAAAGAAAACATAAGAGATTATTAAATAGCAAAGTGGTTATCAACTAAAAAAATAAAGACTACCAAATTCAAAATGTGATCCTTGAAAATGTCAGTAAAATTGATTAATCTGTAGTGTGGCTAACGAGGAAAAAAGAGAGAAGGCACAAACTATAAAAAACAGAAACAAGAGAGGTGATATTATTACAGAATTTATATACATATAAAGAATAATAAGATATTTTTATTACCAACTTCATGTCAATAAATTCGACAATTACAGAAATAGTCCCATTCTACAAACCAGACAATCACCAAAGATTGTTGGAAAAAAAATGTATATAATCATAATAGCTTTATATGTACTAAAATAACTGACAGTTAGCTTAAAATAGTCCCATGCACAAACAGAAAATAAATCCAGTCCTCATGGCTTCATTTGTGAATTCCACCTAATATTTAAAGAAGAAGTAATACTCAATTTTAACTAATCTATTTCCAAACATTCAAAAGGAAATACTTTGCAACTCATTTTATGAGTATACTATTACTGAGCCCAATGTACAGCAAATAAATGATTTGACAACAGATTTTTGTTCATGTCTCATGAATAAATCTTCAAAGATTCTTATATTGAGCTCAATAGTATCTCAAAAGAATAAATCCTTTTAATCAAGATTATTTAAATCAGGAATGAAGAAGTTTAACATTAAGAAGGAAATTTATCAAATGTACCTATTAAATAAAAAAGGAATACCACACACAGCCATCTCAACAAGTGCAGAGAAAGCATTTGTCAGAGCTGTGAATAAATGCTCTTAGTAAGTTAAGAATAAAGAATTTTCTATAACCTATCAAAGGAAATAATGAAAAGCACTCTGCTCACTTTATAGTAAAAAACTATTTCCTCAGAAAATAAAGAAATTGAGCTATCTACCCTCACCACTCTAATCCTGGCCACTGCAATTAGCATCTCATGAAAGATGAAAAAATGTATTCAATGAAAAGTACAAAATTATGCTAACAGAAGTTAAAAAGAACTCAAATTAACAGAGAAATATACCCAATTTAATAGACATATCAGAAGAATTGATACTGTTAAGATATTATTTTTAAAAAATGTTTACTTGCATGAAACTAATCCAAGTAAAAATCCTAACAGAAATGGATCTAGTTCCACATTTCACAGAAAATGCAAAAACTTAAGACAGAGAAAAGAATTTGTCTGGGGAAAATGAATGAAATACCTCATTCTGAATGTCTCAGTACATATAACACTGCATGCTTGGAACAAAAACAAAGTCAGAAATGAGTAAATATGAACAATTATGTTTTGACAAATATGGAAAAAAGATGCAGTGGAGCAAAATAGCTTTTAGCAAATTAACAACTGGATAGTGTTTTTGAAAAACTGAATTTCGTAATTCAAGATGAGTTTTACAACAATGAAATAGTTGTAATAGCTGAAAATAGGAATTTTAGAGGGCAAAAGAAGAGACCATTTTTTGACATTCTGGCAAAGTATAATCCATAAACTAAATGTGTAAATTGGACTTAATCAAAATCAATAGCTTCTGCCTTTCTAACCAAGTGTAATGGAAATAAAAATGTCATAGTCTGGGGAAAAATTGGTTGTAAAAGATATATGTGCTGAAGAATTTGCACCTTAAATACATAAAGAATTCCTAAAAATTTTCATTAGTAGATTCTTGAAAAACAATACATTTTTAAAATAAAGAAACAAAATTTTTAAAATGGCATGATGTTTGAACACTTTACCAAAAAATATGTAGAAGGCAAATAAACTTTTCAGTAAATGCTAAATCAGTAGTGATTAGAGAAATGTAAAGTGAAACTACAAAAATAAACCACTATTCAACAGGGAAAAGAGATAAAATTAAAGATTTATTACAGTAAGTGTTCGTAAAAATGTTAATAAATTGGATGTTGAATACCATAATAATACTGGTGATTGAATTGTAAAGTGATGTAGTTTGTTGGAAAATGGAACGCATATTTAGCATATCCAGACATATCCAGCATATCAATTCGCAGGTATTTATGCAGAAGAATATGACATCCATGCCCATACAAAGATGTTTACACATGTTAGTTAGGGTTTATTTTCTCGTAATGTTAATCTGAAGTCATATTTTGAACAGACATGAAATAAATTGGTTTATACAATACAACAGAAGCAATGAAAAGCAATTAGTTGTTGAAGTATTTATGCTGAGTGAAAGAACTGAAATTGCCTGCCATCTTAAATAAGCGTACAGATGATATATGATGTCATTTATATAAAAACGTGGAAAGTGAAAATGAGATAGGGAGCAGAGCTAAGGTTTGAAGGATTTAGGGTAAAAAAGACTGAAAAACAGGATTACTGAAATGCAGGGGATAGTACGACTGGAATGGTAAATGTACTGATGGATGTAATAATGGCTTTATGGAATCTTTCATATGTGAACATTTACCAAATAGTATACATGAGATGAGTACACTTGAAAATTAAGGTAAATACTAGTAATAAGCCTATCGTATATGAATAAAATGTTGTTCTTTTAAAGACTATTTTGCTGAGTTCGGTCCCTGGATCATCAGCAGCACCTGGAAGTTCAGTGGAAAAGCTTGGGGTCCAGTGTGCTACATGAAAATGTGCATTTTAATTTAACCCCAGATGATCAAATGAGTGCTAAAGTGCGAGAAAACTGCTGTAAATTCCGTCTTGATTTTATTCATTCTAATATCCAGCGGTTTTTTGCAGAGTTTATTACCTGAAAGTTGAGGGAAAATTATACGTGTCCTAAGGTAAGGATTTATTTTCGCACAAGAGGAACTGCCCACCACAGGCGCCTGCAAACAATGTACGAGGCTGATAGGCACTGCGACACACTGCGCTGAATAAAAAGACAATGCCTTCCGCCCTAGCTGTCTGCGTTAGAATCTTCACTTTAATGGTTAACGTTCTCACCTTCAGGATCAAATCTGTGAAGTAGATGGCAGCCCAGCCTCCCACTACCACCAGCAGCAGCGACTCCGGAATCATGTCGATAGTGGCCGCCGATTGAAAGCCTACTGCCAGCTAAATACTGACCGCCCCACCACACTGCCATTACAATTGAACCGTCTGCGCAGAATCTGAGCGCTACTTCCTCTCTTCAAAGGGGGAGGTTTTAGCCCAAACCCTTCCGGTGAGCACACACAGAGTAACTGCCCACATTCAATAAAGGGGCGGTACTTCTCTTCACGAAAGGAGGAGGTTAGATTAGTGAAGGCAGACGGGTGTTGAAACAGCTCTCGTGAATGCTCAGCCAGCCTTTGTTCAAAGTTTTCCGACACTTAACGTTTTAATGATTTAAGTTTTGATCATTCTGACTATTCATTGTTGTCAATGGTTTTCTGCGTTATTCTCTCATTTTGACCTTGTGAAGTTTTACTGTCTTCTGTAGCCATAGTAAAAGCTATCTTCAAGATCCCACGGTACTTGTTCTTTTCTTAGTTTCGCTCTTACTTTTATTTTCAAACCGGTTGGTTCACAGGAAAGGTGAGCTTCCAGAATTCCTGCCCCACCTCATCTCTCGGTGAAACTGAGCAGGATGCTGTAGAAAACTGGGAGAAGGGAGGAAGAAAATTAGATGTCTGACAAACTTTGATGTCTCAGTGGTCCTGCTTCGAGCTGACCCTGTTTACTTGGGCATTTGCGTAGGCGGGGATGGCACACTTTGGCTGTTTCATACAAAACTATTATCCTTTTCTTTCTGTCTACTGTACACTAACTTTGTTATACTTGTCTTCCATTTATGTTTTATATGCCGTCAGTATGTCAGTCTTTATGCAATGGCTACCAGAACACATTTAGAGCAAGTTAGGGGTCCAAGGTACTCCTCAGCCTGCCCGCTAAGTAAATCGTGTACAAAGATAGAACTCCAATTAACAGTGTGCAACAACCACCTTGGAAAAACAACCCACTGTCTTTAAATTAGGCCTTTATCATTAATAATCAGTCCACAAATAACCCCTGGAATAATCAGCCCTAAATGACAACATTTTGGTTAATAATTAATAGCTTCCGAAATTTTGACCTGCTTCCAGCTTGCAACCAATCAGAGGAAACTGAAAATACATCTTTTACCAATAGAATAACTACATGTCCTCCCTTATCTTTTGACACTGTAGCACTTTTCCCCCTCTCAGAATGCCTTCAATCTCTTCATAACACAGTGATGGTGGTAAGCTGCGTTGGTATAGCAACCCCTAACAAGTGCTTAATCTCACTTGGACATTCTTTATTAATTTCCCCATGGTGTGCTGTTAATAAACATGGGTTAACAGTACAGTTTCATGAATTTTGACAGAGAAACACAAATTTGAATTTAGTTTACTTAGTAGAAATAATCATTGCCAAACTAGTAATGTAATAAATCTCAACAGGTGGAGCTTCTAGTTTTAATTTGTCATGACTTAAAGATGTACTGATTCTAAAAGAAGAAATGCAAGACTTTTTCCCCCTAATTGTAACAGGGTGGTCCCCAGGAAAGGGGGAGGTTCCAGCTTCCCTGCCCCACCCAAGGAAGGGTGGAGCTGAGCAGGGAGAGAAGAAGCTGCAGAAGAGACTGAGGGAGGAAGGAGCAGGATGGAGCCAGGAGACCTGGAGGAGGTGCATGGAGCCTAGAGACACGTGAAGAAACTGCGCTTGTCTTTTGGTCGTGGACTGGGTGACACAGATGTGGGTGAGACCCGTGGGGAGGTGACCATGGCAGCTTTTATCTTGATGTTGATTTTGCTCTTTTCCTTCAGGGCTTGTCCGGTTGTTTGTGACCCTTTTCTGTGGGTCCCCACTGGAAGATGTTTTAGACTTGTGGTAGACTTTGGGGCCTTGTTCTGGGCCGATCCCTTATGGATGGACTTTTACCCACGAGGGGATGGGTAACTTTGGGTGCTTCATTTAGAAACTAGACTCTTTGCCTTACCTGTATTGTTTCCTAGTTTAATTAAAGTTCCTTCCCATTAAAGTCTCCTATGTTTTGTGTTGATGCGGCGGATGGCAGAACCCATGTAGAATAGGCAGGTTTGCAGGGTTTGGGCTGACCCTCTCCCTGTCCTATAACATAATGACTGCACTGCAGAGAGGCAAAGATTGGGTATCCATTGTTAAATCTTTTTTTTTTTTTTATCTGAAAGTTTTGCCTTTACATCCAGTCAGCAGATTCCAGAATACAATATGTACCTTGTGCAAATAACTTTGCCTTTTTGCCTGCTAGATTAAGATAAGTTATACTATGTTTAAAATTTGACCTACTAATATTTAATGCTAAATGCTAACACAATGCTTACTAAGATTGGATTGGAATTACAATGCTGCTTAGGAAATAAATTAAAATGATGTCCTAAATCCCCCCAAAATGAATATGTGCTTAACACCAAAGACTAGAATTATAGATATTTGTAATAATTTGCCTACATGTCCCATATTTTATTAGTTTTATTAAGTTAGCAACCCACTTAATTCATTTTCAAAAAGTTCTAAATTCATTATTATCTCCTCATGCACATATAAATCGTTTCAAATAAGTTTTGGAACTCTTTGGGGACACTGAAGTATGCATCTTTGGGGAGACAATGTAGTTTAAACAATATTCTTCCCCTAGAGAAACACCTTGTAATGGCCTGTTCAGGTTTTCTATTTCTTCCTGATTAAATCTCTAATGGTTGTATATTTCTATGATTTTGACCATCTATTCTAGGTTTTTCAACTTACTGGCATATAAATATTCTTTTGTTTTGTTTTTTAATTAAATTTTTAATTTTTTTACATCATTGTTCATTTCTCTTTTTTTTAAGCTGTATGTATGTATTTATTTATTTATTTATTTATTTATTTATACAAGCACTGGGTACAGTCAGAAGTGCAGGAGGGTGAGAGAATTCACCAGAGCCAGAGCGGGGAACAGAACAGGCAGACTGACGAAATCCACTGCTGAGAGGAGCAGTGGGCACAGCAGGAGAGGTCTGTCATGCCATGTGGGACCCTCACTGGCGGGCAGGGATGGAACCGCCGCTGCAGAGGCTGCAGGCAGCTTCGCAGCCTAGTGCTCAACTGCTGTGCCACCAGGGGAGGCCCTATCATTGTTCATTTCTAAACAATATTTTCTTCCCCCCCAACCCCTCAGGTGTAGTACCCATAGAGTTTCCTTCACCAATGCACCCCTTCATCATCACCAAAGTCCCCTGTGCTCCTGCCTCCCTCCCTCTGATCAGTCTCCCTCTTCCTCCCATGCAGTATGTCTATGATTTATAATTGTCCGTTTTTGCTTTGTTGTGCTTTGTATTGTTAATTTTTTTTTTTACACTGCTGTGTTATTTTGTTCCGCTATATTCCTGCTATAAATGAAACCATGCCATATTTTTCTTTTTCCTTCTGGCTTATTTCATTGAGCATAATTCCTTCTAGCTCCATCCATGTTGCTGTGAATGGTATGAGTTTATCTTTTTTGATTGCTGAATAATATCCCATTGTGTGTACGTACCATATCTTCTTGATTTTCACAGAATAAAGCAAGGAATAAAATCACAATGAAGACAAATATGGCAAATACAGATGCCAACATATCAATATTAACTCTAAATGTAAATGAATTAAACTTATCAATAAAAAGGCACAGAGTAGCAGCCTGGATTAACAAACAAAATCCAACCTTCTGCTGTCTCCAAGAAATACAGTTCACCACAAAAGATCCACATAGACTGAAAATAAAAGGGCGAAAAACAATCATACAAACAAATGGACCAAAAAAAAAAAAAAAGACAGTAACATCTATATTTACATCAGATGAAGTAGACTTCAAACTAAAAAAGGTAAAAAGAGACAAAGACGGTCACTACATTATGATCAAGGGGACAATATACCAGGAAGAAATAAATGTTCTTAATAATTTCTTATGATCCTTTGAATTTCTGAAATATGTTTTAAATTGTTTTATTTCTGATTCTGTTTACATAACTTTTTTGAGCGTATTTTTGATTCTTGACATGAGTCTATACTGCTACATAAATTTCTCTAAGTAGTGTTTTTACTTTGTCCTATAAATTTATCGTAGTTTGTGCCTTATTTTCATTTTTCTCAAGTTGTTTATTTCTTCTTTTTTTCCTCACTAATCTAATAATCATTCAGTGGTATATTGCTCTGTCTGTACAAATTAGAGGTTATTCCTGTTCTCTTTTTGTGGGTGCTTTCCAGTTTGATACCTTTGTGGTCAGAGTAGATTTTGGCATGATTTCAATCTTCATGAATTTGTTGGTTGATACCTTCTGGCCCAATGTTTATCAATCCTGGAAAATGTTCAGTGTGCACTTGAGAAAAACATTAATTCAGTTTTTAATTGGTGTAGGGGTGATGTTGTGCCCTATAAATGTCGTTTAAGCTGATGTGGTTTAAGTCTTTGTTTAAGGTTACGTTTCCTGTTTATTTTCTGTCAGTGAGATTATCCACTGATTAAAGTGGTATGTTGAAGTCTCCTACCACGCTGGTGTTGCTACAAATGTCTGTTTTCAGATTTGGTAATAGTGGCCTTTCACATTGAGGATTAGGGGTATGAATTTATGTATATGCAAACGAGGCAGGAGAATGTAGCTGTTCTGCCTCTCTCAGAATTGAATTGTCTTTTGCTGTATCTGTCTTCCCTGTGTTACGGTCCCCTTCCTTAGCATTAAAAGACTCCAAATTCTTTTTTCATCTATGAGAACTGAAAATGAACCTGCCCAGCCTGGGATGGTTATACAATAGGTCCTCTACTTCGAAATTACAGATAACATTGTAAACCAAAAAAATGAAAGAAAAAATTATTTCGACACACTTTTCTGTATCAGAAATGTGCTCTGTCCTTTGTAAATTGAAATAATGTATGGTTCCTGATTTTAAATACCTAAATATCAATGATGATGATGGTTATGATAATAATGATGATATAGAGCAACAAGGGGCACTGAAACTGGCCAACAACACTGACCAAATAATTTACTGGTCACTGCCCAGATTCTTCACCAACACACACAATTGTAAGACCATGCAGATACAGGGAACGCCAGTAGGGGTTTATTTAACAAATAAGGGAAAATGAAGCACTGAGGTGACAAGTGGCTGATTAGCTCACCTGAAAGA